CAAGTTCTAATTTTATAGGCTGCAACATAAAAGGTTACATTTTGAGGTCCTGACATTTTGCATATTCTTCTGACCATAATTATGCAAAACTGGGGAATGAAATCTCTTTACCAGTTAAGTAGTGTGCAAAATACATTCACTATCAGAAATTTCAAGCTAAACAGCCAGTTGATTTTACTGGTCTCAGTCCATGAAAGAACAGAAAGGCAATGACATACTTTGAGAGTTTGAGTAACAATTATCCCAGTTCATTCTTTCAGCTTAGAGTGCCAACCCAAATGTCAAGCTGTTGCATAACAATCAATAACCTAACAATAGTACTTTCGGGACAGAGAAATATATCTCTGCTAACATGCGGCTCTAGTAATTGTTATCAGCTACTAGCCATAAATTACAGCAAATAGATATCTAAAATTGAAAAGGAACAGGTGCAAAATTATATTCAAAAGCCACATTTGCTTGTTAATGAGAATCACCAACAAATGATTTCTGGCATGAAATAGGACATTCATAATGACAACAGAATAGCATGCCATAAAGACATCATAGTGGTAAAGAAGAGAAGATAAAGATTTATGAGGTCCCCATGGTATTAGTCAGATACAGCAACTTCAAATACAATTGCAAGTGCCAAAAAAAAGAAAGTACTGCAACTCTGCATGGGATTGGTGATTATTGGAAAAAACATATGAAGAAGAATGCATAGAGGAAAAGAGATAGGGTGCCATAATTATGAAGAGAACCAAATAGGATGTATGGTCATGACCCATTAACTTGTTAAGCAACTTGGCCAAAGATGCTTAAAGTCAAGTTAATGATAATACACTCATCAAATTCTTATAAGTGAACTCAACTATTTATCCACTACTAATATGGGATTAAATTTAGTGTTATAATTGCTGTGTTACAATCTTACAATGTATCACTTATCAAAAAAAAAATTGCAATGGATGATTAATTGATTAAGTGAATGAAATCATAGTCAGATCTTTAGATTTTCTTTTTTCAATGGGAAAAAGGGTGGATCATATGTTTGCACCAGCAAAAGTTTCATGAAATATAAGCATTGATGGTATTAGAGATATGTACTCAATAATAAAAGGCAAAGCAAAATTAACCGAAGCCGAATGATTAAAAAGCAGAAATTTTGGATTGGAAAGTAAAAGACAATTGAATAAATTACTCATCAGATACTTCACATCAAAGGACTGGAGAGAAACATAAGCCAACCAGCTAAGCTGAGGAAAAGAAGAGTGTTGACAAAAATAATGTTAATTGCATGGAAATCATAAAAGATACTGGCAGATGTATGCTACAGAATTGTTAGTAGGCAGATAAACCCTCCTTTACATTGAGGTCATTTAAACTGCCATTTTAGGTGCTAAAGTTCTGTAAATTATGGAGGATCCTAGAATAAGGTAAGATATGACAATACAGGTATGCAGTCAACAAGATTTTTCCTTTTCTCCCCATGATTAGCTCAAATTCAAGATGAATCCTTAAATATTGTGACTGTTCATCTCAAGATGAATCCTTAAATACTGTTCATCTCAACTCCAAGTGCATCGAGAATTAAACTGGTATCAGTTGATCAAGGGTAAAGATGATAAATGAATTTTATCCTTGTAACTAAAAATGATTCTACTTTTTATTGTTTCGACAAGAGAGGAAGGCCTCGAACAAGATGTGCATAGATATAAACTACCAATAATCCAAATATATCGAAAGAGAATTAAAATGAATCGCATATCCCATTGATCAGAAACCTCAAGTTTCCACAAGGAGGCAAACTCCAACAATTTCTATGCATCTAGCTCACCGAATCACACAATTGTAACACAGCTCTATGGTAACAAAAAGAAGCACAACAGGAGAACAACAACACATCCGAGCTTAGGCAACAACAACAAGGAATAGTGACAGCAATTTCTGAAGCATTTCTGAGTACATTATCCAATAAAGGACCATCAACGACAACATCATAACCTTATTCTATGGATTTCAAATGGATCGCAAGAGGGGAACAACACCCTTACCTTTGTCTCTTGTGTTTCGCCCTTCACAGATTGCATGGCATCAGCAAGAAATGGCCGCGGAGGCCTCGGCCTCCAGATACTTGCAGATCCTCTCGACGACCTCCCTCCCCTTGACGCTGTTCTGCTGGAACCTCTCGGCGCACCGCTGCTCCACCTTCTCGGCGACGGCCGCAAGCGCCGAGAGCGGCTTGCACCGAATGTTGGTCTGCTGCCGGAAGGCGGTCCACCCCTCCGGCAGGTCCGGGTGGGGCCGGTAGGTGGACCGCTCCTCCACCTCGAGCAGGCCACGGAGGCTGGCGTTGCGGACCACGATCTCCATGGACCGCCCGCGCGCGTCGACCACCGTGGACTCCACGCAGTGACAGACGACGGCATCCTGGCCAAGGATCCGGCGGAGGATGAAGGGGAGGGGTGGCGACCGGACGGTGATGGAGCGGACGGCGTGGAGGCAGCCGGAGGCGGGGTCGAGGCGGCGGTGGAGGGTGTGGACGTCGACGATGTGGGAGAGGAGGGCCGGGGTGTCCGGATCCGTGAATTTGCGCCAGGCGGCCGTCGTCACGCGGTCCCACGGGTGGTGGTACACATGATCCTGTGTGTACGCGCGGACCATCGGGCGGCACCGGAGGGGGCGGACCTTAGGTTTCAGGCGGAACGGAGATTAGGCTTCTGTGACAAGCCGAGGAGCTTAGGGTTGTGCGGCGGCGAGGGCGTAGTGAGGAGGAAGAAGAAGAGTTCAAAAATCGAAGATGGGGTTTTACATATGCCTCTGAAGACAGAGAGAGACGGTCGGAGGAGAAAGGCATAGAGTCACTCGGTCGACTCGGCCGAGTGGGAGCCGAGTTGAAGGTTCGGGTGGGAGCATGCGGGGCTCTACGATCAAAACCCGGTCGGGTTTTGTTAACCCGACGAGATGGACTCGAGTGACAACCGAAGACCGTCTTTTTCTATTGATTGGGTCAGAAACGGAGTCTGAGCTAAACCCTTTTTTTTCTATTGATTTAGATACGTGCAAAGCATACGAGTAGGGAAGGCCTATACATTAATTTCTTACATACAATAAATTGTTATCTTTCTTGATTCATTGTATGCTGTCTCTTTTAATTAATAAGCCGATAGGAATCACAATCGTAAAGTCAAGAAATGATTGATCAGATGGTTCAAAATTTTTCTTTGCATTTTAGTACATCAGATAATTTTCCGATAGGGAATAAACTCTTAATATTGAGTTAATAATTAAAACAATCATCTCACCCTTTAGTATCAAAATAGTTTATATAGCATCGGCTTAGTTATGAACAATCAAATAATTATATTATAAACTCTTAAATTTTTCATCATTTCAAGAAATGATAATTCTAGTCATCTATTTTAATTAAAAAATTAAAAAAAGTCTGACTAGTCATTGTACATTAATTACGACTACAATTCCTTTGTTATGATGAGTTCCAAATTGATATAAATATTTATTCCTTTGTTAAATTATATTTTAATTTTTTAAACTAATATGAACAACCAAAATAAATTATATATCATACCATATTGGACTATGGAAGATGGATTACCCTTGTAAATCAATTTATTTCTTTTGCCTTTTAGCATCTATCTAAACGGAGAATAAAATATTAATAGTGCAAATAGATCTTTATCATATCATCATTGAGTCAACAAAAAAAATATTTTTAAGCAATGTGATAATAGGAAAAACTAGTTTTCTAATATTGGAAGAAAGTTGTATCAAGATTTTGGAATCCTTAATAGATTAAAATTTTATTATGTTCGTAGATACAACAATAATTGATTTCCTCTAACATCTCAGTAATTTTTTTTTTTTTTTCTTGATCAAAGATTTAGTTTAAGAATATCTATGACAAAATAGACAAAGATGGGATCACAATACTTGTGACAAAACTCAAGATACTAACTCTTGCTAGACTTATAGCATGTTGTTCACCGAATCATGGTTTGATGATCATATGATTGCTATGAGTAAGTTCTCAAAGCATGAAGTGGTCACACAACTCACCCATGTTTCTTGTTAAGGGATCGATGCATGAAGTTCACAGCTTTTTTTGTGTTTTTGTTTTTTGTTTTTCTCGTTTGAAACTCTCTCAGCTTTTGGATATATGTTATCCTACATCTTGCATGATATTCCAAGAGTTCAATTTATGGAGCTCATATTTGTAGAACGATTCCAAAGAGTTGACATCCATCTTTCAGCTTGAACTCGGGCATGCTTCATAGTCTATCAGCAAGAGAAGACATAAAAGTAATCCAAAGTCAACTGTCACTCTTCTATGGCCTCTGAGTTCACAGCCTCACCAGTTGACTTGGCTTCTCTTTCTCTGCAGGGAAGATTTGTATGCAGTGTGACTGACTACCTACTGTGCTGATGCCGCCTCAGCTTGCATCTGCTCTGCTCTTCTCTCATTTCTAACCTCCACAGAAACAGGGCTGTGATAGAATCAACAAGGCCTCAACTTTCCATATCACAAAGCTGAAACCATCCCTTAGCTCACTGTAATCACTTACTAACTCAAATAAAAAAAACAAGACACACTTTTGTTCTTGATTCATAAACAGCTAACTCTTCTCCGTCGACTCACCGGGATGATATTTTCGATCAATCATACAGACAACTGTTATGTTAATACTATTCGATGAAATTTTATTTAGAAAATATTCTCCCACATTACTCCTCCTAAGAATGGTTTAGAATTCCAAACTTTTCCTTTGATTCTCGCATAGACCCTCAACACTTTGAAGAATTTTTCTTCAAATTCAAGGGAAATGGGACAAATTAGATCGATCGATTCCTACATTAACATCATTAGATCATAGTAAATTAAATTGGTGATTTGTTACTTTCGATTCTCGACCAGTTTGGTTGTCACAGTTAGCAATCTCATAGGGAGTCCAGTCCATTTGGCACAAACTCCGGAGAAGAATAGTGATACCAAAGCGATGTGAGAGAAAGACGAAGTAACATTAAACATCAACGTTGTTCGCCGATCACATTATTTGAAGGAGGAGAACAATGAATGCTAGAGATCAAAAGATGTCAACGGTAACAATATAACCCCAATCGTTCACTGTTCACGTAAGCCCTGCATGAGGCTCGCCTTCACTTCTTCTACTGCAGGTAGAAGGCGAAGAAGGAGAGGACGGAAGCTCCGATGACGGCCCCAACCGCGGGGGTGGCTGCGAAGGAAGCACTGGCGGGGCCTGGCGCCGCGGCCGGGGCCTCAGTCGCCAGGGCGGTGGTGGCCGCGGCAGCGGCGACGAGGACGGCACAGGCGATCTTTCTCATCTCCATCGCTGGGTCGCTACTGCTCTCGCCGGCGTGGAGGAGATGAGAAAGATTGGTTCTCAAAGAGTCTTTGTTATGGCAAGCCTGAGAGGAAGGGAAGGGATGAAGGGGGGTTTTAACGCGATTCTTCGAGGGGTGGAGTGATTTCTTTGGATGCCGTCAAAGGATTTGTGGCCTCTGCTGCGTCTTCTTCGGGTGCACATTTTGAGGAGGGGTTGGTGATTGACGAGGGAAGGCTTGACATGGTTGCATGTGCTTGGAAGGTGGAGGGTTTGTTGACCACGCTGTTATTTTTAGGGCACCAAAAATTGAGTGGCTAATTTAGCACAACAGCATAGTTTTGGATAATTCATATGTATGATGAAATCAAGATGTTTTCTGTTGTATATACGCAGAATATTACAATAAACTTTCAACCTATATTCTTCAAGAATATACTCTTCAAAGAAAATATATATACTCAAAGTTACCTAATTATTTTTTATTAATATCTTTCTTGTTATTCGCTATGAAAGTACTTATATTAATTTGACAAAAATTGAGTGTTGATATCCTTTCATATTCTATTTTTCATTCGTCCTCCTTCCGACGAGTTAATTATATATTACCTTTTATACTTAGACTCTATTAACATTATGATTTTTTACTTAAAAATTTATATTGAGATCCCTATAATTCTGAAAATAAATAAATAATTTTATTTGAACATTAACTGTATTGACGAAAAACATAACACATGATAATATATGCTGAATCAACATGAAAATAATAGACAAAATGATAATTTTAATATCCCTTCCATTTTTTAATACTTAACTTGTAAAAAAAATAATTTTAACATTCCATATGCTAAAAATGAAAGAGATATTAAAATTATCTTATTACTCATCATCTTTGTATCGATCCAACACGTGATACTATTTGACGATATTTGTACAAATTAGATTATTTATTTCACTTTCATAACTATAAGAATCTAAATATATTTTTTTTAAATACAATATATAATTAGCCCTCTCCCAACTCTTATATCCTTTTTTTATCTCAACATCCATACTCCCTCCACATCCTTCTCCATTTTAGACTTCTACTCCAGTTTTTTATCGACTTACAACGTGACATCAACTTTGACTACGCCACAAAGTTCAGGTTTGATTGATGGTTTTCACCGTCATATTAAACATGTTGTCAGTGTCGTTTACTTTGGACAACCATGCACATTACAGACATAAAACAGTGATGAAAGGGTGTAAAAGATAGTTAAGAACAGTAGCACAATGAATTGCAACCAGCAGAAAACAAGCAGAAACATAAGAGGAGCTCAGCCTTAACAAGTGTTCATCAACTGGCACTTTATTTCATGCTCCAGAGGAGCTGCAGTTTGACTTTTACTGAGCTTCAACAACAGTTGAGGATTAGAACTCCCACTGCAAGTGGCCAACAAATCATGATGACCCCAATCACCTGATGATCATCTCTCCTGCTAGCCCTGGATAACATCCTTTAAATTCAAGAACTAAAGTTTATATCCATATTGGGCTGCTACTTGCAAAATATGGGAGATAAGGTCATGGAGACCTCTGGTTGGATCAATTTTAATGATATGCAAAATCATAATCAGTCAATGACACTGGCATAGTGCCTCAGGAGAACCTTCTCAATAAGTGAATAGGCATCGACTAAATTCCAGTTGCTAGTGATTCAGAGATTTGTGCTCAGCTGTAAATTTTACACCAAAAACATATGGCACATGCAAGCACAAAACTAGATGACAGTAAAATGCTGCCAGATCAAGATTTGAACATAACTCCGTGATAAAAGTTGAAGGAAACTCAGGAGACTAGTAGTTTAATCCATTGACAAAATATATATGGCAGCAGCACATTATCAGAATTAGTTGTCGTCATCGCTTAGTAGTTCTTCATCATCCATATGCATAAGAAGAAAACTCATATGCATGAGTAGTAAACTGCCAAAATCCTCTTCATCAAGATCCTCAGATTCTTCTTCGTCCACATCAAGCAGAGCAGCAAGATTGGCTAACTCATCCTCCAAGGCAAATGGGTTGATAAAATCTTCTATTTCTTCTCTTTCCATTATCTGTCGGGACCTGTGTGGATGGGGCCTGTTTCTGTGAGGCCTATATGCACTTCGCCTATTTGCATGTGGCTTGTAAGTGTGCTGGAACATAATGAATTCGACATTGGTCATAAGTCCAAAACCTCCATGCATGTGACTAATAAAATTACAGAAAGAGGTACTCGAAACAAATTGCAATGACAATGACAATAATACCTCGATTTAGAAAAAAAAAATTAACATTTTATCATACAGAAAAAGGACATACTTGGACTAACAAAGTATATGCTAAGATAAGGGTTCATCTTTTTTTCCATATGTCCTGAAGTGGAACATAATCTCATATCATCATCATAAGCAAAAAATTCAGGTTCTCAGCCAATCCATAAGCACTAATTTGTGTGGTCAAGAAAGTCCATGTCACACCCCAGTTTTAGTTTGACGTTGGATGTGTGAAGCCAATTGAGTTGTTCCATCAGCTAAAGTGATGTGCAATGTAAACTTAGATTTAAGCACTTTGGATTATAGAATCCTAGGTTTATCAAGTTAATGGATCAATTATCCTATCAGACCAAAATAGTATTAATGGATCCAAGTGAAAAAGGGTTATCTGTTAAACTATTCAAGTGGGCTAAAACATTTCGACCGGAAATTCATGATCATCAAGTGAAAGGGTTAATTATCCAATTTTGGTGAGTCATGACAAACGTATCATCGAGAACCAAGAATTAGACATGATGAGGGATCCAAGTAGGAAAGGACTAGCCCATGGATGGAACAAGAGGCACCTCACGACATTGAGTTACCATTGTGCCTCGCATGCACCATACTAGAGTTTAATTTTAGGCTATAATTGCCAAGAAATCAACTGGGCAACCACAAGATCCACAATGGCATAACAATTTAATGGTGAAATTTCTTTAGAGGAACTTTGCACACAGACCATACAGTACATTGAAATATCCTGGTATTAACTAATGCCTGGCAGCAGTCATTACAAGTCTGACTTTTTAAGACGACTAAAAATTACATTGCTCTAGACATGATAATCTAAACAATCTCATGAAACGACAGGAACAGAAATTGCACATATGAAACATCACCATTTATCAAATATAGTAATCAGCTTTCTGGAAATTTAGTTGCCTAAGTATACCTAACTAGCCCATGATTTAACCAATAAAGCAGGGCGCTTCTGTCCAGTTTCCTTCTTACTAGTGGGGTATCAAGAACCAAGCCAAGAAAACAACAACGAGAACTTCTTGATATTAACTATCTCCTAATCCCACATATCGTCCCTCTCAAAGCCAGGAACATAAATTCTCAAGTTACAGGTAAAAAAAATACTCTTGATAATTGCATAACTTGATCAATCTCCCTAAAAATAAATTATGTAATAAGGAAAAATAAATAACTAGATTAAAAAAATCATTCTAGCAACACATAATAATACCACAAACACACAAATTCAAAATTGAAAAACTTCAAGACATGCATATTAATGGGGTTTGATCTGGGATTTGGAATACAAGTGCTTATATTCACAAATCTCTAGCCTTCATCCATGGTCTTTCAGAGCTAATCATTGCATTTTAGCAATGCATACTAATTAGGTATGGGCCACAGTCATGCTAATATAGGAAAGCTAATAGTCCACAATTTTGTAAGAACTTAAAGAATGACATGCGCTATACAGTCACTTAACTTCTATTTGGAAGATAGTTATTGGCAAATATATAGGCATATAATGTTTATTTGAAATGCTAACTAATAGTCTGTTGTAAATTAGACAAAAGCATTAACCATGCAGCCCATGCCAAACATTGCAATTTTGCTTCCACACGTCTAAATTAGGTAATGACCCAGAGATAGTATGCTAGAGTTCTTATTTGATTCAGCTGCACAATATGATGCTTGAGAGACATGCAAACACATGTTCACATGACTAAAAGAGAAAACATATGGCTGATGCAAGTAGTGTTAGCTGGATCCCCGATCCCAACAACAACACATTAGACACACATCACCATGCAATCAATGTGCCATAGACAGCATGCTTCAGTCCACTGACAGATGGACACACTGGGGAAGCTGAGAGGAAAATAGGAGGGAAGGATAGAAAGAAGCAAACGAGAAAAAGAAAATACCACTAATCACAGAAATATTCATGTCACTTGCAAGGGCAGTGAGAAGGGAGAGCCAAAGCGGGTGGGAAAGGAAGATGGATATGGGATAAAGGAAAGGGCTCCCTGATCCCATGACAGTTAAGGGAATCAAACTCCATCAACAAACAGATTAGTTCAAGTGGAGATCCTCTCTGTACTTTTGATAGAATTCTTATTTCTCGCATCACAACTATCCACTGACATAAGCCCCACCTAACCAAGTTTCACATCTCAATTGTTGATTAAAAAAAGGTGAAAGGAGCAAAGGAGAGAAGAGAAACACAAAGGGGGAAAAAATGTATATATTAATTATATTTTGCCAGATTGGATAAAATTTTCTATCATAGATAATTTATTCTAAAATATATTAATATAGAAGATAAAATTCTTCAATGACATCTACAAATTTATGTTTCTAGCATATAGAATATAATTAAAATGCATAAAAAATAATTTTGTATGCATATCCAGCATTCCTTTCTTTTTTTATATATTTACTTCTGCCTAGCAAGCTATGCACACATATCCAGAAAGAAATGTACCACCTTGAAGCTATTTTTCAATTTACATGAAGTTGTTCCCATGATTTAAAACATTCGCATATAACACCCATGTGAAACAAAGAAAGCCAAAAGCATAAACCACACTAACCTTGTAGAAACAACTAGCCCCGAATGGACATGTTCCGTTACCAAAGTCAAAATATTTACAATCAATCAACCTGCCAAAAAAATGGTATGAATCCGACCACATTGTGCATAATTAGATTAAGAAATAATAAAATTTGATCATCATTTGAAGTCCATAGAAGCTACTACATGATTGCCTAAGTTATTAGAACAGCTTCATAAATAATAATATAGCATTGTCTTGCAATGAAGCATTGTCTTGCAATTAATTTTAAATTATTCGTAATAAGATTTATTCCTTGTTAACGTATTCATCTTGAGTTACTTCACAGCTTGTATGTACAGTCCAACAATATAGAGTCCAGCTTAATTTTAAATTGTCAGCACTTTAGTCAGCTTGTATGTCAGAAGTGAGTTACTTCAGAGTTTGTTTTGGTCATTACTCTTGGGAGTTTCTAGGTTCAAAAGCTAAGCAAATAACCGAATAACAAATCTAGCTGATGCACAGACATATATGCAACATAGATATCGTTGCTTATGTATAATTTACACCAGTGGAAGCTCATGAAGCACCCAAAAGAAAGAAGCAAAAACCAAAAGTGATAGAGAGTCAGGAAGCTTAGCAGATATAAGAATTGATAATCTTCTGGGATATGTCACTCATGCCTATATTATTTAAATGGCTTAGAAGATAATATCTGAGTCTGAGCTGATAATCAAGCTGAATTTTCATAATCCAAATTTATCTGTTTCCATTTAGGAGAAATTGATAAAACACATTGGGGCAAAGCAGCATTTATAACTAAACAACAGGAATTTCGTAATACATGTACTCATCATTTATATAAAGATGAAATCCCATAAAATGGAAACTATCATATAAAATTATACTTACAAACAGAATAACTAATATGTAGTCATAGATTACAAAGGCATTAGATTAATTACTTCACCACAAATTTTCTAACATTACATAGTCCACATGAAAAAAAAAAAAACTAGGTTAGTGCAAATAAAATGCAAAACAACTTGAATCAGTATGCGGATATGTAAACTTTACATACTTGAGCTTGTCTTTGTAGCTAGTGATTATTTCTTGTTTTTCTTCCTTTGTGGTGAACCAAGTAACACTGGGAACAACGAAGTATGAATGCTTTCGGCACACCGGGCAGGCCCTTAGTGCAGTGTCCAAATCAATCCCAGAAGCTGGAGAATTCCGACGCCAGTTCCGAATACATGAAATGCAGAATGGGTGGTCACACTCAGATAGTATTCCAAACTTCCGTTCAGCATCTGTGGGCTTAGAAAGTACTCGCTCCAGACAGATACTGCATTCTATCTCCTGACTGTATTTCGTAGTTTCATGGAGCTTGTTATTTTTCTGACACATTGTTATGTGTTCTTCTCTTTTGTCTTGATGGAATGGATGCAAGCAATGCATTTCGCAAATGGAACACATGTCCCCATGAACATCAGGGCAACTTTTGCCATGCAGGCAACTACCAGTGATGTGAAGGGCACAAATTTCTGAATCAGCTGGCCTCATGTGTGCAGGAACATGGCTGCCCTCATTGCTTGGAGAAATATCAGCCCCATGTTTCTGCTTTTGTGCATGTTCCAAAGGAGGGGTATGAGATTGGCATGAAACTGGCAAGTCCACTGGAATTCTAAAAGCCTGACTAGTTTCTCCTTTCAAAGAAGCTCTAGGTGGATGAGCAAATTGAGAAGAACTAGATTCTACATGATAACTCTGATGAGATATTGATGATGCTGGATCATATGAATTATGAGAAGAAACTCCAATATGGTTATACTTGCACCTACTTCCATAGGTGCACAACCCTCTTTGATAGAAGTTACATACCTACCAACGCAAATAAGCAGAAAATAGTTACAGCAAAGCTCTATGTACACTGGAAACTGAAAGTAACCAACATGATTGACAAAAAAAAAAAGTATAGTGATATTACATTATTAGATTGATCTCTCCAATCATGTGAGAATTCACAATACTCCCCTTTTAAGCATGTTCCACGTGCAAAGTACTTGCAAAGAATTCTGGGTTATAAAAATATATATTAGATAACACAACCAAATGTTCATGTTTAATAAGGCCATAAAATAGAGTGAAAATATGCAATGTCGCTTATATAGAAATAGTTCTTGATACTGATGACAGTAGAACATCTGAGAAATTCCTACAGCGAAAGCATGGTCAAATGTCTAATACTTAAGCTTTGACTTGTTGATATTAGGCCAACCCTGGGCAAGTATCAGTTCTGCACAAGATACACTGATAGCATCCTCTAATTTGGAGTCCTAAAAATGTTACCATAAAACAACATACATAAATAGTCAACTAAGTTATTCAACCTGGAAGCCGACTACACATGAATCATAATGTAGAGTAGATCTGGAAATCAAGTCCAATGTTTTTGGGAGATCTGAGATAAAATATCAGATGCACTATTATAGATGTAATCCAAAGTCAACTCCATATTTTGAATAGAGATCTACCGATGGGCCACGAGGATTCTCGAGGATTCTCATAATAAAAATCTTGGGAGAAAAGTTTGCATGAAATATTATAACAATAGCATACCTTATATGGCTGACCTATACTGATATATAAAATCAACTTTAATCCAAAAATAAAAACACCATGGTTTACAAAATCAGAAGATCCAAATATCAACTTGCAACCATGTCCTCAAACTCAGATAGATGGACAGCAATAACAGCAGCTATAGGAGCCTCCTACATTGAAGTTACACACTTTGGAAAATCCACAAAACTTTCAAACTTCTAAATCCAGATGTTAGACGTCCCTAGAACACTGAAGCATCACAATCTGTTTTTCAAAATAATTCTAAACTCTGTGTGAATCAAGCAGCCTCCATTAAATTTCTGTTTTATGGCTAAATGGTGATACTAATACTCATGAGCCCTTTAAAGCAATCCTCACCCGCACAATCAATTTGAGTAGCAAGATTCTCCATTGACACTGTCGAACCCAAGATGCTCCACTTCCCTCTCCATCTTTGTCCCCTACCATTGTCTTTTCTAGCAAATTAAGGTCCTCATATAACCATTACAAATTGCTACAGCTTGAACTATCAATCAGATAATGGAACCAACAACCTATCTTGGCACAAAAATCTATTTTGTCTTTTCCTAGAGTTCTCTGAAGTCTCTCTAGTATCCCACCAAGCTCACAACAGTATATCTTATCTCAAAAACCTATTTTGTCTTATCTTAGAGTTCTCGAAAATCTGTCACACTCCATTACAAACAAGTCTTCTACAGTCGATATCTCTAGTACCCCACCAAGCTCACAAAAATCTATTTTATATCAAAAAACTATTTTGTCTTATCTTAGAGTTCTCTGAAGCTGTAACAGTCCACTAAAAAAAGTCTTCTCCAGTCAATATCTAGTATCCTACCAAGATCACATCTCTTCATAAAAATCCAAACAAAAGATGCATATGAAATCCAACATCCACAGGATCCTCATAGTGCCCCGAATCATCTTCGGAAGAGCCCCAGTATCATCAAGTTAGGTCATTAAGACATCGAACCACATATTTTTCATTCCACGAACTGCTATTAGCATCCATACGACACCGTTATCAACTCCCAAAAGATTATCACAGCAGAGAAATCCACCTAACAACCAGAAAGAAGCATCGAATGTCTTAACAAGGAAAAAGGATACCAAAACTCAATCGACGACAAAAGAGACGCAAATAGATCAGCGAGTAAGCTGTTCAAACTCGGAGACTGATCAGAAGGTGAGGAATCCAAGTGACATCACCTTCTCGGCATGGAGGGAAGAGGAGAAGACGAAGTCGGCATCCAAGTCGGATTGGACGGAAGAAAAGAGAATAGTAGGGTTTAGTAAATTATATTGTATTTGCTTCTACGGCTTGAAACGGCTCGCTTGGTACTCAAAACACCTCGGTTCGAAATGATCCTCAATTTTGGTCTAAAACTACGAATGTACTCCCTCATTGAAGACTACGTGAGAGAAGTATGTAAGTGCTATTACTGTAGTTAGCTTAAACTACAAGGGTTTTGTATATGTGATGACCGTCGGTTTAAATTAAGTTTGATCTTATAATTACCTACGGATGGCTTGGGTGAGATATTAATCGCATAGAGAAAATGGACCCCACGGTGTGGAAAGCCGCACAGAAGGACGGGTAGATTGTGAGGCTAGTGTGTTTGAGTGTGAAAAGAAATACATCGAGTCAAACAAGGAAGGTATTGACTCGAGAGGACTAAAAATTTAAGATATTGCTGAAAAATAATGAAAGGATTCGCAACTTAGTCGCTACGTGTTGCGAATAGGGTCGTTCGTCTTCCACAACAACTCGAGGCACAGTCAAGAAATGGCTCTAATTCTTTTTACTGCTCTCAAATATATCTTTTTTTTATTTGTTAACATTTTTTTCTTTTTTCTTATATAAGACGTTAATATATAATAAAAAATATATCTGACACGTGGTTGACACGAGATCCAAATCACAGATTCGAAGCAATGATAAGCTTTTCTTTTTTTTTATTTCACAGAGAAAATATGTCAAGAAAAATAATCTTAAATTTAATCTTTTTTTATGACAAGAAAAATTATCACAAACTTTTTTTGAGGCTCTCCTTGATACACTGTAAAAAGGAAAAAGTAAGGCTTTTTTTTTTTTAAACTATTCAAACCCATATTCAGTAAACTCATATTACTAACTTAAGCTTCGAATGAATCGAGTCAGAAAACTTCTCTCGACCTCGATCTTCGTACATATGACACCTTGAGAGTACAGTATTTCTCCCTCAGGAGCATAGTATTTCTACCTCAAACATTCATACATATACGAGTTTAGAGTACGTTAGGCTAACCAAGACGTTAATAATATTTTCTTATAATATTTTGATATTAGAAAGAAAGCCTAATATCTCAGGAATGTCCGCCTACCTATCCTCTCAGCGAATGCTCCAACAAGAAGGCCCTGCCTCCAACCTATAATCTTTTTACTCAAGGGAGGCAATCGATATCCTTCTCATATGTGGATACATCCACCTTGACGCAGACGCTAACAATCCACCGACGTTTGTTTAGTGACCTAAGCCCCCTCACAATTGGGGATACACTCGAGCCACCTCCTGCTCATTTTCCATTAAGATGCTTTTGAACTTCACCCATCAGATGCAAACACTCATGGGCATGTTGCAAGTTATTGCTTTGCTCATACCTTAGCTAGCCCAATAAGTGATGCTACCATCTTAGTCATGGTTGATGCCTCAATTGCCACTAGCACCGACACCCATTGAAATCTACCCGACAACATCGCAAGATCGCTTGAGATCTGTGGAGCTGCCTGCTTACTGAAGGAGCCCCCCACTCTCTAATGGAGTCTAATATAATGTTGCACCATCGCTCTACTCCGAGATTTGATCAATGAATTCAATGGATAGCTCCCTGAAGGTTTAGTAGAGGTAATGGACCATTGCCTAGATGAGATGCGACAAAAATTTCAATACTCCGGTGGGGAGAATCCAATCAATCCTACCTTGAATCAGTCCTCATTCGCATAGAATATCCAAGAGGAATCGATCCCAACCAACTTCCGCCTCTTGTTGTTAGAAACCTTTGAAGGTAGTACTGGCCTGGTTGAACACATTGCTATCTTATGCACACAAATTTCCCTCTATAACACCTCAAACACTCTGATGTGTTGTGCATTCTCAATGATGCTGAGAGGCCCAGTGCAAAAGTAGTATACCTATTTGAAGTTACTCTTGGTTGGCTCCTTCGCTTAACTTGCAAAAGAGTTCGAGCTCTACTTTCTTGAGAATGTACACTCGAAGCCCTCGATGGCAATACTGCTTAGACTCAAACAAGGGGAGGAAAAGACACTCTATATAGAAACAAGCTCTATGGTTCAAGTTCAAAATCTCCAATAATTAGGTCAAATATGAAGCACTTCTCTTCATGCTTTGACTCACCTGAGAGCTCTAAGTGAGTGTCATAGAGGATCATCCGCTCTCAGTATCTTGAGAGAAATATCCTGTGTATTCTTACTTAAACAAATCCTTGGTCACGGTCATTCGGATTAAGAGAAAAAGAGTTCTCCGGGAAAATCTGATTAGAGCGAGACTCGAGGAGAAATCGTATAGGCCTGACAGCACCATGCCCGGTATATGGCCTCTGGGATATTAGATGGATGAGAGACTATATGTACATTGTAACTAAGGATAAATAGGTCCAAAGGATTGGATTTCCTTGTATCGTCTAGGGACTGCGGTGTAGTGGCCTAGTACATCCGTAGTCGATAAGTCGAGTGAGTAATTATAGAGATAAAGATTCACTGAGCCAAAAAGAGTTCTAACATGTATGACTCACGGTCAGCTCGATATTGGGCTTAGAGGGTTATACATATATGGTAGGTGTTGCGACGAGTAGAGGTTCGGATATGAGATATCCGTTGGAGCCCTTATCTTATTAGATATCCAATAAGCTTCTGAATTATTGGATCTCATAGATAAGATCAAATAAGATATTATTGGGTAGAGACCCCCCAATCTAGGAGGCTTGTTTAATTAGACGAGGATCCAATACTCAATATGACACGATCCATTAGGGTTAACTAAGGGCTTCTATAAATAGGAGGGAACTAAAGACTCGTAGGCTGGGGCTTCTTAGTTGCCACCTCCTATTCTCCTTAGATAGCAGGTGTGGAGATTTGAGGAGTGTCGTCATATCCCTATTGTGTGGATCACCGCTAGAGAGGAGGACGCTTGATCTCCTTTATCCTCTCCTACAAATCTATAGGGATTCAAGGATATACAATCTCCCTAGGTAACACAACTATCTCACATGTGGTTTTTTGTTCAGTGGGTTTTGCACGCCAATCTTCACATGACGACAAACATATATTAGAAAATTTAGGGTTTTTATTTTATGTTCTTCCATTGCTCATGTGATGTTGCCCCTAGATTTCCCTACAGGTAATTTACTCAAGTTATCGGCTATAGATGTACTAGGCCACTATGTCATAGTCCCCAAACGTTATAAGGGGATATAATCCATTGGACCTATCTTCCCTTAGTTATCATGTATATATAGTCCTTCATCCACCTAGTATCTCAGAAACCGTATGTCGGGCATGGTGTTGTCAGGCTCATACAGAATCTACTCGATTCTCGCTCTAATTGGATTCTTCTAGAGAACTTCTTCTCTCTCAATCTGAATGACTCTAGCTAGGGATTTTCTTGAGCGAGAGCACACGGGGCATTCCTCTCATGACATCGAAAATAGATGATCCTCTAACAATACTTAATTACCCTCGTAAAGTTAGCTACCACTCCCGATGACTGGTTATGCTAGATCTGAAACCTCCAGACCTGTAAGTCTAGTATCAAAGAATATATTACTCATATAAAGCATCCATGGTGTCTCAAGTTTAAGGATTAAACACAGAATTGGGATCACGGAATCACTGTCTGACGATGAGGTACCATTAACCATCCACCATTCTATGAGCGGATCATTAAGTAAACTCATTATCCAATAAGCACATGCACTATATCCCTAGTGCCCTTGCACAAGCAGCTATAAGACTAGCTACCTCTATCATATGGACATGTATATAGTACATTGGTATGTCCGATTATCTTGATGTCTCTCTCGAGTAACCTATAACTGGAAATATTTAGAGTATATGTTTATAAGCGAATTCTTATTGGTATTATTATCATGATCTCATCATGATTCAATTCTCATTACATAGATCTAAAGACATCACAATATATCAATCAAACAATATAAAGTAAGAAAATATAATAATATTAATAATAATAATAATTATTATTATTATTATTATAATCAAAGAGACTATAATAATAATAATTATTATAATAATCAAATAGACTATGCAATGTGTCACACGTATCATCACTCACGTAATTATCTTGTATGACACCTATAACTAGCAAAAGACACTCAGGTGGAAGAGCTACCAAGCATTCTATAGGCCTCTCAAACACCCAAGATTGGCTCGAGAGAATTATCGTTTAGTTTGGCATTCAGTATTGAAGTTATCCTGTTACCCAAAATAGTCTTCTCGACACCTTGGGTTGAGAGCTTCAACAAAGAAATATTTGAGGAGGGATTTTGAGCTAGACTTAACCTGATTAGTAAAGTTAGAGCTGAAGCACACCTATGGGAATTGAGATACAAAAGAATAGAACTCTTGACGTGAGGTACACCGAGCAAGCTTTTCAAGTTAACGATATCATAGGCTTTAAGGTTAGAATTTTTTCAAGTTGGTGATGTGCTATGTTCTCGATAATGTCACTCTCTCTAAGAGATGCTCAAGATGTCAACGATATTTTCTCCTAACACTTAATAAAATTTTCAGAATTATATTGATTATACTGGAATATACTCTACCATATTCTAACTTATTTAGAACGATACTCTTACGACTTAAATTTGATAAATTGTTCAACAAGATGTAAGTGATCCTAAATCATATTGTCTTCGTGATATATACTGTTAGGGGAAAGTATCATTGATATCTTAGTCAGCTCGATGTGGTCTAGACATGTATATATAGGAATATCTAATGTATCTTTGAGGTAAAAATACTATACCCTTGAGGGGAAAATACTACACTCCCGAGGTGTAAATACTATGCTCCCAAGGTGAAAGTATTACGCTCTTAGGGTGTCACCTTCGTAAAGACTAAGATCAAGAGTGGTTTCTCAATCTGGTCCATTCGACGCTCAAGTTAGTATTTTGATGTTCCTAATTGTATGTTCGAGTAATTCTAGAAAGGAGAGAACCTCACTTTTCCCTATCTTTGATTGTTTTTATACCTTGAAGATAAGAAGGAAGTTTGTGATA